AATAAAGAAAAAGTATGCTTCAATCTGCATTCAGAATACATCAGTTATTTCTCTGGAGATGGATAACATTTTTCATCATAAGTCCTTCAGAATTGTCTTGAATCATTGTATTGCTGAGAATAGCTAAGTTATTCACAGTTGATCATCATACAACATTGCTGTTACTGTATACAATGTTCTTCTGGTTCTGCTCGCTTCACTTTACATCAGTTCATGTAAATCTTTCCAGGTTTTTCTGAGAGAATCCTGCTCATCATTTCTTGTGTGTGTGTGTGTGTGTGTGTGTGTGTGTGTGTGTGTGTGTTTTGGGCAATGGGGGTTAAGTGACAGCTAGTAAGTGTTATGTGTCTGAGGTCAAATTTGAACTCAGGTCCTCCTGAATCCAGGGCCAGTGCTCTATCCACTACACCACCTAGCTGCCCCCTCATCATTTCTTATAACACAATAGTATTCCATTACAATCATTTATCACAACTTATTCAGCAATTCCCCAATTGATGGACATCCCCTTAATTTTCAATTCTTTGCCACCACTAAAAGAGCTGCTATAAATATTTGTGTACAAATAGGTCTTTTTCCCTTTTAAAAAAATATGTTTGGAATACAGACCTAGTAGTGGTATTGCTAGGTCAAAAGGCATGCAAAGTTTTATAGCCCTTTGGTTATAATTCCCAAATTGTTCTACAGAATGGTTGGATCAGTATACAACTTCACCAACAGTGTATTAGTGTCTCAATTTCCCCACATCCCCTCCACTCTTTGTCATTTTCCTTTTCTGTCATACTAGCCAATCTGATAGGTGTGGGGTGATAGGTCAGAGTTATTTTAATTTGCATTTCTCTAATCAATAGAGATTGAGAGCATTTTTTTCGTATTATAGATAACTGATTACTTCATCTGTAAACTGTCTGTTCCTATCCTTTGACCATTTATCAATTAAGGAATGGTTCTTATTTCTATAAATTTGACTCGGCTCTCTATATATTTGAGAAATGAGGTCTTCATCAGAGAAACTTGCTGTAAAATTTTTTCACAGTTATAATTACCATGTATTTCCCTCCATGCTATTTTCCCATTGTTTGTACTACTCTTTCTCTCTCCTTTCACCCTGTCCATTCTCAAAAGTGTTTTGCTTTTGACTTCTACCTTCTGCCATCTGTCCTCCCTTCTATCTCTTTCTCCATTTTCTCTTATCCCTTCCCCTCCTGCTTTCCTATAGGGTAAGACAGATTTCTATACCCAACTAGTGGGTATGTTATTCCCTCTTTGAGCCAATTCTGATGAGAGTAAGGTTCATGTACTCACCACTACCTCCTCCCTTTTTCTCTCTCCTGTTAAAGCTCTTTCATGTCTTTTTTATGTCAAATAATTTACCTGATTCTATCTCTCCCTTTCCTCTTCTCTTCTTTCTCATCCCTTAATTTTGGTTTTATTTTTTAGATAATCATCTCATCATATTCAACTCACACCTGTGCCACCTGTCTATGTATACTCCCTCTAACTGCCTTCATAATGAGAAAGTTTTTAGGAATTAAAAGTATCAATTCCCATGTAAGAATGTAAACAGTTTAACTTTATTGAATCTTTTATAATTTCTCTTTCCTATTTACTTTTTTATGTTTCTCTTGAATCTTGTGTTTGAAAGTCAAAATTTCTATTCAACTCTGGTCTTTTCATCAGGAATGCTTGAAATTCCTCTATTTCATTGAATGTCCATTTCTTCCCTTGAAGGATTATACTGAGTTTTTCTGGATAGGTGATTCTTGTAATCTTAGCTCTTTTGCCCTCCAGAATATCATATTCCAAGCTCTCTGATTCTTTAATGTAGAAACTGCTATATCTTGTGTTATCCTGACTGTGGCTCCATGATATTTGAATTGTTTCTTTTTGGCTACTTGCAATATTTTCTCCTTGACCTGGGAACTCTGGAATTTGGCTATAACATTCCTGAGTGTTTTCATTTTGGGATCCTTTTCAGGAGATGATAAGTAGATTCTTTTTTTTTTTTTAGTAGATTCTTTCTATTTCTATTTTGCCCACTGGTTCTAGAATATCAGGGCACTTTTCCTTGATAACTTCTTGAAAGATGATGTCTAGGCTCTCTCTTTTTTTTTTTATCATGGCTTTCAGGTAGTCCAATAATTCTTAAATTATCTCTCCTGAATCTATTTTCCAGGTCAGTTGTTTTTTCCAATGATATATTTCACATTTTTCTTCTATTTTTTCCCATTCTTTTGATTTTGTTTTATTGTTTTTTAATGTCTTGTGGAGTCATTAGCTTCTACTTGCCCAATTCTAATTTTTAAGGAATTGTTGTTGTTTTTTTTTTCGGTGAGCTTCAGTACCTCCTTTTCCATTTGGCCAATTCTGCTTTTCAAGGCATTCTTCTCTTTATTGGATTTTTGTGCCTCTTTTTTCATTTGGCCTATTCCATTTTTTAAGGAGTTATTTTCTTCAGCACTTTTTTGTGCCTTCTTTACCAAGCTATTGACTCTTTCGTCAAGATTTTCTTGCAGCACTCTCATTTCTCTTCCCAATTTTTCCTCTACCTCTCTTACTTAATTTTAAAAATCCTTGGCCTGAGACCAAGTCATATTTTTCTCTGAGGCTTTGGATGTACAAGTTTTGACTTTGTTGTCTTTTTTTGACTTTGATGTTTTGATCTTCCCTGTAACCATAGTAACTTTCTAGCGTCAGGATCTTTTTTTTATTGTTTGCTCATTTTCCCAGTCTATTTCTTGACTTTTAACTCTATGCTAAAGTGGAGCTCTGCTTCTAGGGCAGAGAGGGCACTATCCCAAGCTTCAGGTTTTTTTGTGCACATGTGGTCAGAGATAATTCTGGGGACCTGTAAGTTTTTGGTTCTTCCAAGGTGTTATGACCTAGGGAGATGTGTGTTTACTGCTCTTCTGGCCCATGCTCTGGTCTGCGAGTGACCACAAGCACTTTTTTCTGGCCTGGAACTATGACCAGGGTCCCAGCTCCCCTGTGACCATAAGCTCTGGTGTGCTAGTGCTCCTCCTCACCCTGGGACTGAGACCCAGATCCACGTATGGACAATGAAACAGAGTCCTGTCCCCAGTGCCAGCACAGGGACCTCTGTAATCTCCTTCTGACCAGTTTTCTGACTTCCTTACCGTCTGTGGGCTGAGAGGTCCAGAAGCTGCCGCTGCCATCCCTGACTCAGTTGACCCCAGGGCCTAATGCTGGGCTGCTTGGACGCAGCTTGTGCTGCTCTCCACTCTCACTCCAGTGTGACAGATCTTTCCTGCCAAACTTCTAAGTTGTCTTGGGCTGGAAAACTGTTTCACCCCATCCTTTTGTGGGTTCTGCCACTCCAGAATTTATTTTGGGGCATTATTTAAAGTTGTTTGGAGAGGTTTTGGGGAGAGCTCAGCTGAATCTCTGCCCTTTCTCTGCCATCTTGGCCCTGCCCCCTTCAGTGCCATTTTTCACTCCCTCACATATTGTGTTAGGTACTGATGTACTGGGGACCAAATGTAGTCTACTATAATCCATAATGAGAACTCACTATTGGAATTCTATTAAATCTACTCCATTTCACATTTGTTGTCTCCCAGTTTCATCTATAAATAAATGCTCCTGAGAGAATCTGGCTGAGTTGGGTTCCAAGCCAAGTTTCCTGCTCATTTGTTTTCCTTTCCCATGCTTTCCATTGTTTTGTGAGGCCATCTGCTCATAATGACTACAGAAATGTAAATAAAAACACTACCTAAGCCGAACTCAGATGACCAATATTAAACTCAGAGGAGAGATGACTGATGGATGTTGAATGTGGCCAATGTGGATAGACTTAGTTGCTCTTTACTGGTGTTATCAAGAACAATGATGAAAGAACCTCCACAAACATCATATGAGGATGCCTCATTGTGGTATAGAGGGGACCCCAGGTTCTTGATATCTGTATAAGCTAAAAGAAAGCACTATCGAGCTAAACAGGTCTCAAGTGTGGCTGCAATGACAGACTGAACCTGATGTCTAAGAACCAGTCTCACTAAGGATATCACTCACACGATATCACCAGTAGAATGTCTACAAGGTGATACATTTTTTTTTAGCTACAATAAGTCATGAAACAAAGAAAACTACAAAGAGGCCCTCAATCCTTTGTGAGAGAAAGATGTGTGGGATGTGAGCCAAAACCAAGGGTGGGAAGAAGAAGGAAGAGGAAGGGAAGAAAGAGGAGGGAATGATAGCAATGATGATGAGAAACTTTGATTTGGGGGGCGGCTAGGTGGCACAATTAATAGAGCACCAGCTCTGAAGTCAGGAGGACCTGAATTCAAATCCAGCCTCACACACTTGATACTTACTAACTGCATGACCCTGGGCAGGTTGCTTAACCCTGATTGCCCCCACACACACACACACAGGAACTTTGATTTGATTTTCCCAGCTACATAAAGTTGTTTTATCCCTAGATGACCAGTTCTATTTTTCTCCTATCTTCCACCAGATAGAAACATTCAGTTCATTCATTCAACAACCATTTACTACAATAGTTGCAAAGGACAGGATTATGGGATCACTAGAAGAAGAAAAAATGAAACGAGATTCCTGCCCTGTGGAGCTTTTAATCTTGAAGGGGGATGTGAGACTTTCATGAATGCATTCTAATTATACGTAATAGGATCTTGGATTTGGGGGAGGGAGTAACTACTCTCAGCTTTCTCCACTAATCCTTTATATTCTATATATGGTAGGATCCTAGGAAATTGAATGAGATTATGTTTGTCTTTACCCAAGGGAAATGCAAGGTCCAAGAAGAAAGACTTCTGGAGGCTGAGACAGAAGACAGAGCTGGAAGGAAACAAACAATTGGTGGGAAGGAATAGTGGGCCTGAGACCTGGCTGGGCTTATACCCTTGAAATAAATACTTAGCAGAGCTGTACCACACAGGAAAAACACAAAGTGGAATTCTCATGGGCATTGTGCTAGAGTTGGATGCAGGAATGAGAGGAAATCCTAGTCTCTAGAATAGACAAAGCATCTATGGGAACGTTCTTCCACCCCTGAGAAAAAACATCACTTGGAGGGAGGGTTAGGGTATAGATTGGGTTGAGGTAGCAAGAGATGGGGGATACAACAGAAATTCTGTTAGAGAAGCTGAGACAAATAACCAATACCCCGCTTGGCCTCTTGGCTGCTTCGAGCCATCTGCTGGGAGCTGAGAAGAACTTCAGGAAGAGTGACTGTACAACACAACGTGGAGACACCTGCATCCATCGCATACTATGGGTGGTTGAACTTATTGGTTCACAGGTGAGTATTGCTCAAACTATCAATCAATCAGGAAACATTTATTAATCATGTCCTATGTGCTAGGTAGATGCTGAGGGTATAAATACAAAAATCCCTGACCTCCAAGAGTTTACGTTCAGAGGTAAATAAATGCAGGCTATATACAAAATAAATACACGATGAATTCATGGTGACACCAAAACCTAAAGGAATAGGGAAGGACTTCTTGAAGAAAGTACGCTTGAGGTGAGCCTTGAAGGAAGGGAGGGTTCCAAGAGCTGGGGGTAGGCAGTGAGAAAATTTTAGACATTGAAGATGAAGAGGCGAGACATAGCATATCCTGCATGTTAAACAAAAAGCAAGTCATTGAATGTGTGAGGGGATTGAATGTGAGTAATATGTGATCTGCCTGGAGGGATGGTCTGGAATCAGATTTTGGAGGGCACTGAATGACAAACAGGAGTTTGTATTTTAACCTAAAAGGAATGAGAGACATCAACTTGAGCTAACGAGTGATGTGGTCAGACCTATGCTTTAGGAATATCAATTTGGCAGCCACATGGAGGATGGATATAATGGGAGGGGGAAATTAGATGAAAAGAAATTAGGAGGCTATTGCAGTAGTCCAGATGAGAGATGATTAAGGCCAGAGACAGGGACAATTGTAAGATATGTTGAGGAAGTAGAATTAGCAAGATTTGGAAAATGATAGGATATGGGGGTTGAGTAAGAGTGAAGAGTTGAACAAGAATAACAAGAAAAAGGCATATAACAGTATTTGTTATCAGATTAGCATGAGAATGGGAGTTGGGGAAAGAATAGACCTTTTGGGACTTGTTTCAGTACTGAAGAGGTAATAATAACAACCAGTAGATTCAGTCCAAGTTCTTTGTTCCAAAACACCTGCAGGGACCTGTCCTCCCACAGTGGTCTCTCCCCTATCTGTTCAGCTCATCTCTTCCCTCTCTCTTTGATCATCCACTGCCCACTCAGTTGCTACTTCTGTCATTGGCTCATTGAATCCCAAGAGGTGCTGAAGAGGCTGCGATTGCTGCTACTGCTCAGCTCGTGCCAAATTCTTCATCTTAATCACTCTCCCCCAAACTGCATGTTCCTTTTCCAAAGCTATTCAACTCTACCTTCTAGCTCAAAGATTGTGATAGTTCATATTTCTCTCAGGGCTAAGAAGGAATTTGTGTCCCTCTGACTTACAAATTCCAGAATGTCAGTAAATTCTCAAACCTCAATTTCATAGTACACAATCCACAATAAACAGTGGTCATGCACAGTCAATTTACCTTACTAATAGTTGAATGTTTTCTTACCTGTATTGCTCTCTCCTAACAGATACTAGGTGCTATATGTGACATCCTCCAGCATTCTCTATATCATATTCATATGTCAGCTTAGCTATTGTTCCTATAATCTGAATGCCTCTACTATGATTTGCTGACATTTCTGAATGTTCTAAATGCTCTTCCATTCCTGGTGGAGGAGAAACTATCTTCAGGCACAGTAGACAGTGGTGTAAATTCTGTGCCTATGCCTATAGGTGACTGAGGGCAAACAGGTCAATATATTGTCCTTAGGTGAGTGGGCTTCTGTCCTTTTGGGATCTCCATTGATGGAGTAGCTTGCAGAAGGTAGATTGATTCTGAGTTAAGTCTCTCTTCTTTGGCAGTCTTCTGCATTTTCTAGTTGCTTTTCCCTCGATTAGAATTTTGGTCCAGAATCTTTCAATGCGGTTCTTCCTCCTGGGGCAGCTATCCATCTCCAGTTGGTTTTGATGGGGTTTCATTCTTTGGCTGTCTTATACTACTTCCTCCTTTCTGATTGGTAGTTCAATTAGTTCCCCATGAGTATCACGTAGTTGAGATAACATTGTCTTTGTAGGGCGCTGGCCACTCTGTGGTACTAATTTGGCTACTTCTCAACTGCTTGGTATAGGAACACCATCAGTCCACCATCTTGTGAGTTCCAAAGGTGTCAAGAGTTGATACACGGACTCTATTCCCTCTAATTTATGACAACAAACTTGAGCATCATGCTACTCTGTTTTTCTCAGTGCTAAGCAGGAGGGTGCTGGTAAATATTTAACAGCCTGCTCTTTGGGGAACAAAATGTACACTTGACACACTTTTAAGTTTAACTTGCATTATTAATATTTTCTCTATCACTTTATTAAGTCTAAACAATCAACAAAACAATAAATTGAGCCACAATTTGTACCATTTGCCAATTCTCAAAGCGTAAATACTTACATTGAATATGGAGCAATTGATTATTGCAAGCTGTTTCAAACTGGCTTCGGCACACCCCTGATGCTTGATGCTAGGTCTCTCTCAACTTCTTTCTCAGCTACTTATTGGTTGTGAGTTTTTAGATGTTCTCCATCTTCTGACACCTCAAAACATATTTTTAACTAAATTTTATTGTTTTCAATTATGAAACATTTCCCCTCCCTCCCACCATCATCTCAGTGCGAAAAGAAAAAAGAAAAAAAATTAGCAAAAAAGCTTGGTTAGGGGGGCAGCTAGATGGTGCAGTGGATAGAGCAATGGCCCTGGAGTCAGGAGGACCTGAGTTCAAATCTGGCCTCAAACACATGATATTAGCTGTGTGACCTTAGGCAAGTCACTTAACCCCAATTGCCTCACCAAGAAAAAAAAAGAAAAAGAAAAAAGCTTAGTCAAGAAAATCAAATTCCAATATTGGCTATATCCAAAAATGCTCTGCATTTTTTTGTCCATCACCTCTTTTTTTTTTTTTAAGGCAATTGGGATTAAGTGACTTGCCCAGAGTCACACAGCTAGTAAGTGTCAAATGTTTGGTCTGAGGCTGGACTTTTGAGCTCAGGTGCTCCTGACTTAAGGGCTGGTGCTCTATCCACTGTGCTATCTAGCTGCCCCCATCGCCTCTTTTTCACAAGGTGGATAACATTCCTCATCATCAGTTCTCTGGAATCATGGTTGATCACTATGTTGATCACAATTATTTCAAAATCTTTTAAAATTGTTAATTTTTACAATATTGATGTTAGAGTATAGATTGGTCTCCTGATTCTAATCACTTCCTTCTGTATCAGCAAATCCAAGTCTTTTGAGATTCCTCTGAAACTATCTTTTCATTATTTCTTACAGCACAACAGTAGAGTATTAGATTAATATTGCCATCATTTCAGTTCAGCCATTCCCCAACAGATGGATACCCTCTTAGTGTCTAATTCTTTGCTATTACAAAAAGAGTGGCTACAAATATATTTTTTTAGATAGAAGACATTTTCTTCTTTTTTAATTTTTGGAGTATAGGCCCAGTAGTGTGATAATCTCTCCTCTCTAGGTTTTTGTGATGTGCCTTTTCCTGGTTTTCTTTGTACCTATGCAATCACTCCTTGTCAGACTCCTTTTTTCAGATCTTTATCTAGGTCATGGTCTAACTGTGGGCACCCCCCCCAAGGCTCTGTCCTGGGACCTCTTCTCTTCACTAGCTGAACTATTTAACTTAGTGGTGACATCATTTTCCATTGATTCAATTATCATCTTTATGAAGATGACTCAGATCTACCTATCCAACAGTAACTTCTCTCTCAACCTCCAGATTCACATCTCCAACTGCCTGCTGGATATCTTGAACTGGATGTCCTGTAGACATCTTGAATTCAACATGTTCAAAACTGAATTCATTATCTATAACTACCCCCCATCCCCACCAACTCCTTTCTTCCTCACTTCTTTATTTTTGTCAAAGCTACCATTATCCTTCCAGTCATTTAGGCTCACAACCTAGGTATCATTCTGGACTTCTCACTGTCACTCTCCACATCCAATCAGTTGTCAGTCCTTTCATTTCTACCTGTCAAGGGCTACAGAGAGGTCAAGAAGGATGAAGATTGAGAAAAGGCCATTAGATTCTCTGTGTGTCCTTTATCAGACAAATCTACTGTGAATACTTCCACTCTATCCCTCAACCCAGGTACTTTTGTTGTTTTTCAGTCATATCTGATCTTTGTGATTTCATTTGGGGTTTCCCTGGCAAAGATCCTGGAGTGGTTTGCTGTTTCCTTCTCCAGCTCATTTGACAGATGAAAAAACTGAGGCAAACAGAGTTAACTGATTTAGCCAGGGTCACACTGCTAGTAAATGTCTGAGGCTAGATTTGAACTCAGGTCTTCCTGACTCCAGGCCTGGCACTCTATCCACTGTGCCACCTAGCTGCCCCTACCAGTTATTTGCTTCTCCTCTAATTTTGGCTGCGTTGGGGTGAGACCTCTTGCAGTTATAATTGTACTGTCTATTCTTCCTTATGACTTATTTAACATTTCCTTAAGTATTTAGATAATATGCCATTCATGTCATATATGTTAAATATTAAAATTAATTCAATATCAAGGGTATCTTTTAGCAAAATGTAGTTTCCCTGTTTATCTCTTAATTAAACCTTTTTTTTTTCTGTTGCCTTGTCTGAGATCATGAGTGATACTCTTGCCTTTTGTTTTTTAAACTTTGGTTGATACATGGTAGACTTTGCTCCTGTCTCTATTTGGACCCTGTGTAAGTCTTTATATTTCAAGCATATTTCTTGCAAAAAAAAATATTATTAGACTCTGCTTTCTAATCCATTGTGCTATTTGCTTCCATCTCATTGGTGAGTTCATCCCATTCACTTTCAGAGTTATAATAATTAATTGTGTATTCCCCTTCCATCACATTTTCTTACACTTTTCCTTCTCTTTGTTTCCTGCTCCCTTTTTTATAAAGAAGAAGGTGATGAGAAAGGAGTGCATTTAGCACCAGTGCTCTAGATTTGTTGCAATCTACTTCTGTTTCCCTGCTGTTCTTCTTTTTTGCCCTCCCAGAGCCCAATCTGAAGTTCTTATCCTTTCATTCTTTCTTTTTAAATGCCTCAGCACACTATCCTCTGTGGTTAGAGTTTGTGTGGTTGTTTAGGATTAATGGCTCCCTTAATCTACTCTTCCTCTTATTTCCTTCTTCCCCTCTCCCCTTTCCTCTTTGTTTCCCTAT